CGAATTACAGGCCCAAAAAAGCTGTGAATACAAGCCATCCCCTTTCGTTTCAGCATGGATTCGGAATCCAAACCCCAAAGCAAACCAAAATTTTTTTAAATGATGCAAGGCCAAAACAAGACCCGAGATCGAGTCCTTGCAGCTCACAAAAGGGACGCCTGGACATCAGACTATCATATTCAAACAAATCAGTCCTTTAGCTAATTCAACAAAAGCAATTGTGCGAGATTCTACACCTGATTCAGCCTCATTTCAATATATTCAATAACAAATTACACCTCATGAGACTGTTAAATAAATGAATCTGAATTTAAACAATAGACTCATACTCAACATGTTTACAAATAATCGTGGTAATTCTATATACGTCTCAAACCCTAAAGTGATAATCCAAAACATTTTTTCTTGTCCAAAAATACTATAAAACTGAATACTAACTTAAAACCCATCCAATATGCCAATTCATGAAAACCAAATACTATTTAAGTACGCCAAGCCTGCCATGACAATTCAAATGAATTACACAGCAAAAGAAGCTTTCGTACAATCCACATTACTCGATTTACATGATTGAAGGTAGAGTCTAACTACTGATTCGACTAAACAAGTCATTCATCAAGTTTCTATGATAATCCAGGGTCAGATTCAGGGATAGAAGTTCAACTGCCCAAAAACCAACATTTAGCTATGAGATATTTGATAGAAAATGGAGTCACCCACTAGTTACAAACCAAATTCAGCTCTCAAAAGGGTACTATCAACAGCCAGCAAAATACAATGCACTATATGACTCAAAACAATGCAATCAAAACAAAATAAAGCTAAAACTATGAGCAAAACAAGTTGACACTATGCTTCAAAGCTCCAGATTTCATTTCATCTTTGAATCAGGCCTCACATTAGATAGAACTCAGAAACGTGTACCAGAATACAGCAAAAGAATCAAAAATTTAGCTTGAGACTAGGAGGAAACAACAGTAGCAGCGATCAGCAATGTAACAGTAATAGCAAACTCAAACCCAAACTTTTAAAGATCCAAAACTCAATCCATTTCAACCCAGGTGCAAGACTTTGACATTTTTAGTAGTTTTAAACTAAACAATGAGGATCAGAAAACCAAAAACCAAGCAGAATTTTGAGCAGTTTCGACAATGAAATGCAGGGAATTCAGTGTTGTTTTTCAGAATTTCAGCCGTTTCTTCAATTTTTGTATTTTTTCCTCTCTAAAGTTCTCTTGGGTCTCCCTTTCAAAGCAAGAAAACCATGCCTTTATAGGCAAGGAAGTAGGGTAGCTTACAGAAAATCAGATTTTGCATTTTGCCCCTTTTCTAATTTTGGTTTTAACTCACCTACCCCTAATGTAAAATTCAGAATTTCAAAATAATCCTAAACCCCAGCTTCCTAGAAGCTTCCCATTCAGTTACCCAAAGATTCCCTTCCTACAATTCCTATTTTAACCCTTAAGCACCATGTTATTACCTCTGAAATCAGATAGATATGGGTCATGGGTTGAATTGACCCAGTAATCTAAATAATGTCATCTGCTTGTTCCTTGCAAAGAACAAGAAAGCAAAGTTATTCTGGGGCCAAACCGGCCTTGAACGCTAAGGAAACTTTGAAGGATATCCTTGCATGAACGAACTCGGCCATGACTTCTAGGGCTCGAACCCTAGATTTGAGATTCGAGAAGCATCGGACAGATTTAAGGGAAACCAACTGTGGATTAGGTGTAAGGCGGGTATAGTGGTTATGGGGTATTATTTTGGGGCCGATTGGATGAGTTAGGGTTTTGGCTGTTCTCTTCGATTCAAGATTCGACGAGTTCCAGTAGGATTTGAGAGAGGGAGTTTGGATATTTGGGAAGAGGAGAAGTAGGGGGATCTGTGGTGTAAAAATAGGGTCGATTGGAGCAATGCCGGCGGAGACAATTTCCGGCAGTCAGCTTACGGCGGAGGCGGTGAGGGCTCTCTGAGGGTGTGTGGGGACGATGAGAGGGGGTCGTTGGGACATTTTTATACCAGAAGATCCCAGCTTCTCCACCGTTGGATCTGGAAAACCTCGACGGCCAGAATTTGTTTTAAAGAAACGACGTCATTTTGTCGCTAGATGGGGCGGAACGGGTGTGGACGGGTCTGGGCCAAAAATGGGACGGGTTTCAGGGAAAAATGTTTGGGCCTATGGAATTATAAACAAAAATGGCCCAAGAAAAATAGGCTTCTTATTCAATTCTTTTCCTTTCTTTCCCAAATTCGTTTTTTTTTTCTCTTTTTTTCTAATTTCTTTTAAATTCAAATTAAAATTTAACCTAAACCTAAATTAATTCAAATAAACCTAAATTAATTCCTACTCAAATATCTTAGCAAATTAATTACCACAATTAATAAATTAAAGAGAAACTACTCAAGATCCAAATTAAAATTAAAAGGTGCAAAATGACCATTTTTGTGATTTTCCCCTTTTTTATAAAATGACTTAATTACTTGATTAATCCTAAAATGTTAAATTAGACCCTAAATGCAAATTCACATATTTTTTGTATTTTTCATTAATTAAACAAAAATAAAAATCTACAGACAAATGCAAACAATTATCAGAACATGCCACAAAATCCACAAAAATTGCAAATAATGAAAAGAAGTTATTTTGTTTTGAATTTATGGGAGTAATTCATATAGGGCAAAAATCATGTGCTCACATCCATCCCTAGTCGCTTTCCCAACATAGGGTCTCTATTCCCAAGTTGACTTTATTTTAGACATAGGGTCTTCACTCCCTAGTCGCCTTTCCAACATAGGGTCTCCACTCCCTAGTTGATTTTGTTTTAGACATAGGGTCTTCACTCCCTAGTCGCCTTTCCAACATAGGGTCTCCACTCCCTAGTTGATTTTGTTTTAGACATAGGGTCTCCACTCCCTTGTTGATTTTGTGTTAGACATAGGGCCTCCACTTCCTAGTCGCTTATCCAACATATGGTCTCAATTCCCTAGTTGAAGTTAATTTAGACATAGGGTCTCGACTCCCTAGTCCCTTTTCCAAAAAAGGGCCTCCACTCACTAGTTTATTTTTTTTTAGACATAGGGTCTCCACTCTCTAGTCGTTTTTCCAATATAGGGTCTTCACTCCCTAGTTGATTTTTATTTTAGACATTGGCTCTCCACTCCCTAGTCTCTTTTCTAACATAGGGTCTCCACTCCCTAGTTGACGTTATTTCAGACATAGGATCTCCACTCCCTAGTCGCCTTTCCAACATAGGGACTCCAATCCCTAGTTTAAGTTATTTTAGACATAGAGTCTTAACTCCCTAGTCGCTTTTTCAACATAGTGTCTCCAATCCCTAGTTGATTTTACTTTAGACATAGGGTCTCCACTCCCTAGTCATTTTTCCAATATAGGGTCTCCAATTCCTAGTTGAAGTTATTTTAGACATAGGGTCTCAACTCCCTAGTCGCTTTTCCAACATAGAGTCTCCAATCCCTAGTTGAAGTTTTTTTAGACATAGAGTCTCCACTCCCTAGTTGATTTTGTTTGAGACATAGGGTCTCCACTCCCTAGTTGATTTTGTTTGAGACATAGGGTCTCCACTCTCTAATCGCTTTTCCAACATTGGGTCTCCACTCCCTAGTTGATTTTATATTATATATAGGGTCTCCACTTCCTAGTCGCTTTTCCAACATAGGGTCTCCACTCCCTAGTTAATTTTGTTTTAGACATAGGGTCTCCACTCCCTAGTCATTTTCATTTTTAGATATAGGGTCTCCACTCCCTAATCTCTGTTTTTCCAAGGGTATACCTATCCTGACCTTTTATTTGCTTTCAATAATAAAGTAGTATAGAGTTTGTTACAAATAACTCACAAAATTTTCCTAGTGAAAACTAGGGTAGAAAAATTTAGTTCCTTCATTTATTTTGGGATCTGAGCAGGTTTTTACCTTGAGGCACAGGGTTCGAGATGACCAAAAGAAGAATATCAATCCATAAAAAAGAAAAGAAAAGAAAAAAGAAGTGAATCCAAATGTAGAAGCAGAAGAAAGATGTGAACTGATCAAGACATGGCTGATGTCATGAGCACTGCATTCCCTATTTTTATCAAAAAAAGGAGTAGAAGAATGAATTAGCACCTGCAGCTACCAAGCATCAAGGTTCAGATCAGAGTCTGCGTGAAGAACCAGTCAAGACTCAAGATCAAGTTTTAGAAGACTTATAGATAGGAATCTTGTAACTCATAGCTGATAGGATTGTTTAGTTTCTTTTTGATTTTGATGTAACAAACAGGACCACGGACCGGAACCTCGATGAAACCTCACTCGACTCTCCACATATTCCATCACTTCATTCACCTCTGAACTACACGTGGCCTGATTCCTTTTTAGCTAAAGATATATAGGCAGCTCAGATACCACGGCTCGGTCACAATCTTCTATCATCTTTCTTTTCTTTTGAATAAGTGCTAAGTCAGAAATCAATTACGTCGCTTACTTATTTCTTTGCTAAAAAATACTTCATGTTTTCAAGCAAAGAGGGGCAGTTGTAAGCACGTAATTTTTGACCCGCACATTAGAATTATCTTTAATAGTCTTAGTATTTTTAGAAATTTTATTTGAGTTTATTTCTATAGGACTTCACTTTATTATTAATTTTAATTCTAGTATAAAAGCACAAAATTGAAAATACAAAAATAGTTTTTTTTCTATTTTAATTCAGGTATTAGGTATTTTTAGAAAGATATTATTTTTACCCATTTTAATTTTAGTTTAATCTTGAAAATACCAAAAAATAGTTTCATGTCATAATATAGCTGTTTTAATTAATTAGGATTGATTTTACATTTTTATGGTGTTATTTTAGAAAAGAAATTAATATGTTTTTTAGCCAAATTGCAAGAATTATTGAACTAAAGGGTCAATTTTATAACCCAATACCCTTTAACTTGGCAAGCCCAATTTATTAGCCCAATATACCATCAAATTTTTGTTACCTAAAAAAAAGATAATAAAGGAGCTCTCATTCTCTCATTGAAGACACTCAGCCGCAGATCCCAAAAGAGAGACCATCGTCTCCATCTCTCTCTCATTCTAAAAAAAAATCCCAGCGCCTCACCCCACCTTTCTAATCTACAAAAGCCTCACTCACCCCAAAAGCAAAAGAGCCGCATACACAAACGGAAAAACACACAAAAAAAAGAGGCAAAAGGAAAAATCACACAAAAACGAAAGAGGAAGGCAGAGAACAAATCACACACATACACAAGATCTTGTTCCTTCTAAAGGCTTTTCCCCATTTCTGTTTCTGTCATCGATTGCGTGCCAAGACGAGGAGCTGTATCAATAATTCTTCATCCAATGTCTTGGCTGCTTAGCATATAAAATTAGATTATAACTTGGTCATGTGTAAAGCCTTTCAGCTAATGAAGCTCATCCAAACCCAATTATTTCACCAAAGTTCTTGGAAGCTATTTTTTTAAGATGTCGGCCAAGCTCTCTATTTGAGCACTTCAAGGTGTTCTGTTGCGTCGTCGGTCCGGAGTTCCAATTAATACCTCGTTTGAGCATTGCTATTTCTTTGGTATTAGCTTTCTTTGTATGCAGTAAAAAGGTTAGAATCCAATAACAAAAGGTCTATTTTCATCTACATATGCATTTGGTTAGTTTCTTTTCTTAAATGTTTTATGTGATTCCTCTGTTGTAATGACCCAAGGGGTCATTTTATGAATTAAGATTCTGTTCTAGGTTTATTAGCCATAAGAAGATTAATTTTAAATACCTCGATTTACGTACATAGTCCGGGCGTGAAACCGGAAAGCTTTTATGTGAAAATGTAAGAAATAATGATTTTTATAATTTAAGTTTGGTTTTAGTTGACTTTGGTCAGCATTTTGAGTAAACAGACCCGGATCAGTGTTCCAACGATCCTGAAAGGTCTGCAGTAAAATATTGGACTTGCGCTTGTGCCCGAAATTTAATTCCGAGGTCCCAAGCCTTAGAAATCAATTTTTGAAAGAAATTGTTTTGCTGAATTATTAATGAAATAAAGAAAAGAATTAATGTTTGAAACCATTGGTATCGGGCCCATATTTTGGTTCCGAAGCTCGATACATTTTTTTTATGATATTTAAGTCTTATTTGTGAAATTATGTGAGAATCAGAGTTGATTTGACGTGATTCGGACGTCCGGTTGAGAAATAGTGAAATTTAAGTGTTCTTGAGAAAAATTATGAGTTTTGAGGTTAAATTCATTGTTTTAAATATTATTTTCATGATTTGATTGCATGAACAAGTCTGTACGATATTTTTAGACTTGCGTGCATGTTTGATTTGGAGCCCCAAGGGCTCCGGTGAGTTTCGGGTAGGCTTCGGGATGTTTTTAACTTGTAAAAATAAATTTGTTGTCATAACAGATTTTGGTGCACTGGTGCTCCACGCTTTTTCTTCAAAAAAAAAAGATAATTCACGTAATCCAACTCGGCGGCAGCATTTTTTTCATATTTTCGAACTAAAAAGACCTAGAGGCGATTTTCTTCACACAGGTTCATCCCCAAAGTGTTTCTAAACAATTCTAAACTTTTCTCTTTCGATTACCCAATGTTTTTCATCACTTTTCAATAAAAAATCAAGAATTTTCATGGCAAAAATTTGGGGTTTGGGTAGAATTAGAGAATTTTGTAAAAATCAAATTTTGACCTCGAATTAGGGTCGGTTTCAAACTAATTGCATACTCGGGCTCGGAGGTGAATGGGTAGACAGAATTTGGTCCGAACCCTGAGCTTGGACCAAGCTGGCCCGAGGTCGGTTTTTAATTTTTTTTTTGAGAAAACGTAGGAAAACCATAATTTTTCAGAAAAGTTAGTTCCTTTAACATTAATTAATGATATTAAGTTAATTATGATTAGATTCGAGTGTATTGGAGGTGAATTCAAAAGGAAAAGCTATAATTGAATAGTGAGTGGCATGCGGATTTGAGGTAAGTGTGTGGTTTAACCTTGACTTGAGGGAATAGGAACCCCCAACCTAATTGCTATGTGAATTTGCATGTGCGTGGTGTATAGGTAAGGTGACGAGTATCTATGCACCACCAAATTATCTGTTAAACATGATCCCTTCCCCGTTTCCAATTTAATTGATCCCTGGCTTAATTGTTTTATGATCATTGATGTCTATATACTTACTTGATTTCGTTAAATTGCTGTTAAGTATTGTTTCAAGTATTTTGGAAGTGTTGGTTGTTCCTTTGGCTTCATTGTGATACATAAAAGGGTGAGCTAGTTGACCTTGTTTTAATATATATTACGGTTGGTTTATTTGTGAAATGATAAATGATGAAGTTATGAGTGGTACGGTTTACTGTTTACAATTGTTGAGGCAAAAATATTGTGAAAGAGATTGATTTGAAATTTGTGAATCTTTATAAATAAAAGTAATATGATTGTCTGGTGGGAGCGGGTTGCACGCCGCAACAAGGAGTGATAAGGGTGGGCAGGTGGGATCGGGTTGCACGCCGCAACAGGATAAATAAGGGTGATATTTGTATATAGGGAGGAGGAATAAGGGTGGACAGGTGGGAGCGGGTTGCACGCCGCAACAGGATAAATAAGGGTGATATTTGTATATAGGGAGGAGGAATAAGGGTGGACAGGTGGGAGCGGGTTGCACGCCGCAACAAAGAGAGATAAGGGAGAATACTTATGATTTATTGATTTTTAAATACAAGGAACAGAAATCTCTCTATTTTACTCTACTGTTTATCTCATATTTGACACCTATGGTTACTTTGAAAGCGAAATTTGAAATGTGGAAGCTTATGTGAGAATTTAGTTATAGCTGAGACCTGGAAAGAGGTGGCTGAATTATTTCATTTATTGTTATAGTTTATTATTTTTGTTTAGTTTAGAATTTCTTTCTTGCTTTATCATTTATATGTTATTACAGGTTATATTATAATTGCCCCGCCGTAGCCTCGTCACTACTTCGTCAGGGTTAGGCTCGGCACATACTCAGTACATGGGGTCGGTTGTACTGATACTACACTCTACACTCTTTTGTGCAGATCCAGGTACCGTTCAGTGTTAGAGACTTTAGTAGCTATCATTCATCACTCGGAGACACGAGGTAGATCTGCTGGCGTCTGCAGAATTCCTGGAGTCTTCTCTTAGTTTTATAGAGACTGTTTATTTTACTCAAAATAGACACATTATTTCTTTTAGCCCATTATATGTAGTATTATTAAAAGTTCATGAATTGTGACACCAGACTCTAGGGCAGTCTTAGAGTTATATATTTAGTTTGTGGCTTGGTTTATTTATTCGTTTATTATTTTATTCATGAAGTTATTGATGGAAACTATCAGATTTAGTTATATTTAAATTGTCTTATTGTGTTTGATTAATTATTCAAAGGGATATGGCTAATCAATTTCTAACATTGGCTTGCCTAACAAGTGTGGTGTTAGGCGCCATCACGACCCTAAGGTTGGGAATTTGGGTCGTGACAAGTTGGTATCAGAGTACTAGGTTGCTTAGGTCTCACAATTCACGAACAAGCTTAGTAAAGTCTGAAGGATTGGTACGGAGACGTCTGTACTTATCTCTCAGATGCTATTGAGTTAGGAAACAACTCCATTTTTTATTTCTATTCTATCGTGCAATTCTTGTTATCTCAAATACTGATTGGATTCTTCTATTCTGTCGCAGATGGTGAGAACACGTGCTTCCTCTTCTGCTGAACATCNCAGAGGCCGAGGTAGGGGCAGGACTCAACCCATTGCTCAGGCAGCAACCCCAACTGTGGAACCTCAAATCGAGATTAATGAGGGGGTTCCAACTCAGACCGTTCAGCGGGACTAGCTCAGGTCCCAGAGGGGTTTATTGCTACCCCGGTACTTCAGGACGCTTTGGTCTGTTTAGTGGGTATTATGGAGAGTGTAGCCCATACTGGCACATTCCCTATTGCAGCAGCCGTATCTCAGGCTAGAGGAGGGGTCCAGCCTCCTGCTACCCACACTCTAGTTCAGACTACTCCTCATATTCCAACCCCAACAGTCAATCTAGTTGGGGTTATTAAGCCAGTTGCTCTAGCGATGCCCGTTGATTGGGCAACTATATCCACCGATACTTTATGGAGATTGGACAGGTTCATTAAGCTATTTCCTGTGCATTTCAGTGGTGAGACTTCAGAGGATTCTCAAGAATATTTGGATAGTTGTCATGAGGTTCTGCGTAATATGGGTATTTTGGAGACCATGGGATCGATTTTGCTGCCTTTTAGATGACCGGTTCTGCTAAGAAATGGTAGAGAGATTATTTGTTAAATAGACCAGTTGGGTTGTCTGCCTTGACTTGGGATCAGTTCTCTCATCTCTTTTTGGAGAAGTTCTTGCCTGTTACTACTCGAGAGGATAAGCGTCGTCAGTTTGAGCGACTTCAGCAGGGCAGCATGACTGTGACCTAGTATGAGAATCGTTTTGTGTAGTTGGCTAGACATGTTATTCTTTTATTGCCCACAGAGAGAAAGAGGGTCAGGCGGTTTATTAAGGGCCTTGCTCAGCCCATCAAGTTGCAGATGGCCAAGGAGACAGGGACCGAGATTTCTTTTCAGGATACAGCTAATGTGGCTAGGAGAGTTAAGTCGGTTCTTGGGATGGGAGGTCAGGGGTCTGACAATTGACCTCGCCATTCTGGTGGTTTCAGTGGTGCCTCATCTAGAGGTGGAGCTTCATTTATCAGAGGCTAGTCTTCCAGGCCATTTCATTCAGCACTACAGGCTTCACATGGTACTTTGGGTGGTCGTGGTTCTTATATGACTCCTTCTGCTCAGCCAATCTACAGTGCACCATCAACTCCTATTAGAGCACCTCCTTTACAGAGTTATTATTGAGTTCAGCTAGCTCGTCAAGGTCAGTCTTCATATCAGGAGGGATGTTTTGAGTGTGGTAAATATGGGCATATTCGGAGAGATTGTCTGAAACTCTCAGGTAATTAGCATCAGTACCAGGGTTCCCGTGCTATAGTTCCAGCACCACCTACCTAGCCAGCCAAGGGTAGGGGTCATATAGCTAGAGGTAGAGGCCAGAATATTAGAGGTGGAGGTCAGGTAGCTAGGGTGGAGGCCAGCCCGCTAGAGGTGGAGGTCCTCCTAGAGATGTGGTGCAGGGTGGCGGGGCCCAGCCCCGATTATATGCATTTCCAGCCAGGCCTGAGGTAGAGTCCTCCGATGTTGTTATTAAAGGTATCATCTCAGTTTATGATAGAGCTTCTTCAATTTTGTTTGATCTGGGATCAACTTATTCTTATGCTTCATCCTATTTTGCCTCGTATTTGATTGTGCCTCGTGATTCCATGAGTGTTCCTGTTTATGTGTCTACGCCGGTGGGGGATGATATTGTGGTAGATTGTGTATATCGTTCGTGCGTAGTAGTCATTGAGGGTCTTGAAACTAGTGTGGATATTTTGCTTCTAGACATGGTCGATTTTGATGTTATATTGGGCATGGATTGGTTGTCGCCTTATTATGCCATCTTGGACAGTTATGACAATACAGTTACATTAGCCTTGTCGGGGTTGCCTCAATTAGAATAGAAAAGGACTCATGGTCATTCTCCCAGCCGAGTGATTTCATATGCCAAGGCTCATCGCATGGTTAAGAAGGGATGTTTGGCTTATTTGGCTCATATTCGTGACTCCAATGCTGAGGTTTCTTCTATAGAGTCAGTTCCTATCGTTCGTGAGTTTACCAAGGTATTTCCTACAAACCTGTCGGGGATGCCTCCCGACAGGGATATTAATTTTTGTATTGATGTGGCTCCGGGCACTCAGCCCATTTCCATTCCTCCATGCCGGATGGCCCCACCAAAATTGAAAGAGTTGAAAGAACAGTTGCAAGACTTGCTTGATAATAGTTTTATTAGACCCAGTGTCTCGCCTTGGGGTGCACTGATGTTGTTTGTAAAGAAGAAAGATGGTCGATGAGGATGTGCATAGATTACCAGCAGTTGAATAAAGCTACTATCAAGAATAAATATCCATTGCCAAGAATTAATGATTTATTTGATCAACTTCAGGGTGTTAGGGTCTTTTTGAAAATTGATTTGAGATCGGGCTACCATCAGTTGAAGATTAGGGTGTCTGATATTCCTAAGACAGCCTTTTGGACGAGGTATGGGCATTATGAATTTCTGGTCATGTTCTTTGGGTTGACTAATGCTTCAGCAGCCTTTATGGATTTGATGAATTGGGTTTTAAGGCCTCATCTAGACTCTTTCATAATCGTGTTCATTGATGACATTCTTATATACTCCTACAGTCAGAAAGAGCATGAGCAGCACCTCTGTATAGCACTCCAAACTTTAAGGGATAATCAGTTGTATGCAAAGTTCTCAAAATTTGAGTTCTGGTTGGATTTAGCATCTTTCTTGGGTCATATCGTATCAGCTGAGGGTATTCAGGTTGATCCTAAGAAAATAGAGGCATTCAAGAACTGGCCCTAGACCCACTACAGCTACGGAAATCAGAAGTTTCTTGGGTTTGGCGGGTTACTACCATCGTTTTGTGGAGGGGTTCTCATATATAGCATCCCCAATGACTAAATTGACTTAGAAAAGTGCCCCATTTAAATGGTCAGACGAGTGCGAGGCGAGCTTTCAGAAGCTCAAGACAGCCTTGACTTCAGCACCGGTGTTAGTGTTACCATCAGGTTCGGGTTCTTTCACGGTGTATTATGATGCTTCCCGAGTTGGACTTGGAGCAGTATTGATGTAGGATGTCAAGGTGATTACACATGCATCTCGACAGTTGAAAGTCTATGAGAAGAATTATCCCGTTCATGACTCAGAGTTGGCAGTCATTATTCACTCATTGAAGATTTAGAGGCACTATCTTTATGTGTCGTGTGAGGTTTTCACTGACCATCGCAGTCTCCAGTACTTATTCTAGCAAAAGGATCTAAATTTGAGGCAGCGGAGATGGTTAGAGTTACTGAAAGATTATGATGTCACTATATTATATCATCCAGGTAAGACCAACGTGGTGGCCAATGCATTGAGTAGAAAGGCGGTAAGTATGGGCAGCGTTGCATTTATTCCAGTCGGTGAGAGACCGTTAGCTTCAAACATTCAGACTTTGGCTAATCAGTTTGTGAGGTTGGATATTTCGCCCAGCAGTGTTCTAGCTTGAACAGTCGCTCGGTCTTCCTTAATCGAGTGTATCAGAGAGAGCATGATGATGACCCACATTTGATGGTTCTTAGGGACACAGTTCGGTGCGATGGTGCCAAGCAGGTTACAGTTGGAGATGACAGTGTTTTGAGGATGCAAGGTCATATATATGTGCCTAATATTGATGACCTTCGTGAGTTGATCTTGAGGAGGCTCACAATTCTAAGTATTCTATTCACCCAGGTGCAGCCAAAATGTACCATGACTTGAGACAACATTATTGGTGGAGAAGGATGAAAAAGGACATTGTTGCGTATGTGGCTCATTGCTTAAATTGTTAGCAGGCAAAATATGAGCATCAGAGAATCAATGGTTTGCTTCAGCAGATAGAAATTCCTGAGCAGAAATGGGAGTGTATTACTATGGACTTCATTGTTGGACTCCTACGGACTCAAAGGAAATTTGACGTAGTTTGGGTTATTGTGGATAGGCTGACTAAATCAGCACATTTCATTCCTGTGGCAAGTACTTATACTTCAGAGAGGTTGGCAGAGATATATATTTGAGAGATTGTTCACCTTCACGGTGTGCCTGTATCTATCATTTCTGATCGAGGTACGCAGTTTACTTCACACTTTTGGAGGGCAGTTCAGCATAAGTTGGGTACCCGAGTTTCGTTGAGCACAACATTTCATCCTTAGACTGACGGGTAGTCCGAGCGTACTATTCAAATTTTGGAGGATATGCTACGCTCTTGTGTTATTGACTTTGGAGGTTCTTGGGATCAGTTCTTGTCGTTAGTGGAGTTTGCTTATAATAATAGTTATCAATCGAGCATTTAGATGGCTCCTTATGAGGCATTATATGGTAGACAGTGAAGATCGCCAGTTGGATGGTTTGAGTCGGGAGAGGCTCGGTTATTGGGTACAGACTTAGTTCAGGAGGCCTTAGATAAGGTCAAGATTATTCAGGAAAGACATCGTTCAGCTCAGTCTAGGCAAAAGAGTGATGTCGATCGTAAGGTTCGTGATGTGGCATTCATGGTTGGAGAGAGAGTATTGTTTCGGGTATCACCCATAAAGGGTGTTATGAGATTTGGGAAGAAGGGCAAGTTGAGTATATCGGGCCGTTTGAGATTCTTGATAGAGTGGGAGAGGTAGCTTATAGGCTTGCATTGCCTCCAGAGTTATCC